AAAAAAAAAAAAAAAAAGGGGGGAAAGGCATAAAAGTTGTTCATAAAATTTGTATAAATATTATACACTGTATAAAAAATCCTATAGAACCAATAATATCGCTTCCATTTGTCATCCTTGTTAAACAAAAACATTGTTTATTTTTCAATCAAGATATAATGGTACATGGCCAAAGTCAATTTTTTAAAATTTATTCACTTCTTTGTTGTATAAAATTATAAGCATCCTTTAATAAAGATAGGGTATATAACAATATGTATGTTTTTTGGGTTCCAATGATCATCATCAACAGGGGGGGAATGGCTGGTAAAATAACTGGAGCTAAATTACTTACATTACTAATTAACTCTTTTACAATGGAAGGATATTGTTCTTCTTGTTCTTCTGCAGATTCACCAACACTGCAACAGGAGTCATCACCACTCATCAAGTTATGCTGATCATTCATAAGTTTTAAAAAATCTAACATTTGTTGTGGACTGTCAAATGGAAATCTTTTATCTGCACTTGAACCTGGTACTATTCCTAATCTTCTTTTAAGGGCCTCTGGTGGTGGTGGTAACACTTTTAATAATTGTATAAGATCATCTTCAGACAAATTTGGCAAACCTAGATGCTTGTGATTATGTCTGGATCGTGGCACCCGTATAGGCATATCGTCAGACATCATCGTTTTATACCTTTCTTCAACCTTTTGTTTATAAGATTCTTCTGCCATTTTTCTGTACTTTTCCTTGTCATCTTGTTTATCCTGCACCTCTTCAACATGTGGGGGCGTGCTAATTTCCTCGTTACATTTTTTCGAAGGGCTTCCCAATTTTAATGTTCGTGTCGAGGTCGATCCATCACTTAGCAGCTCTGCCAAGCTTCGCGTAACCCTCAACTCCAATCCTCCTTCTTGGATTATATTTTCACACTCAAAAGTGCTTCCGAACGTATTCTATAAAAAAAAAAAAAAGAGGCATAATTTTAACCATTAGTGTTTTGGGCTTATATTTGTCAAGAAACGGGTCTAAGCTTTTTTTTTTTTTTTTTTTTTTTTTTTTTTTTGAAAAAAAAATTTAAAAAAAAAAAAAAAAAAAAAAAAACAAATAAAAAAA